CCCCCCCCCCCCCCCCCAAGGCTCTCTCTTGAGAATCCCTACTTACTGCGCGTAGGTATCTATCTAGGTACATCTATATCTTGTGGTCTGGTAGTCTTGTATAGGTATAGTACGTGAGGTGGGTATCGCGAATAGAGTAGGGAGTAGGGTTTTTTGTATGGTTCTTTTATATTTTTTCTCTGGAGTTTGGTGGCGATGTTGGTGGGGGTTGATGGTTTGATGGTGTAGTGGGAGGGGGGTATGTGTTTTGGTATGGGTAAGTGGTAGTGGTAGTAGTAAGTGGTGAGAGGTGAGATTTGGGGTACGGGTGATGGGTAATGGGTGAGAGGAGATAGGTGAGTTGGTTAAGGTGGAGGTGTGAGTGATAGGTGATAGGTGATGGATATGGGTATGGGTAAGTAGTGTAAGAGGGAGATGGAATGGAATGGAATGGAATGATGGGTGATGGGTAGTAGAGTTAGACGAGGGGTAAGGTTAGGTAAGTGATAATAGCTTTTTTTTCTTTCCAGGGAAGAATGAGGGGAGAATAAGGGAAGCGGGGAGAGGGATTACCTAGGATAGGGAAGGAGGAAGGGGGAGAGGGAGACGTATACTTACTATATAGAGTTATAGTATAGATATATAAGTTAATAGATTACTCGAGTATAACGTCACGAATCACGTGCATACGTGATGAGTGAAGACCAGGCGGCGCCCTGACAGGTTAAGCACTTCCATAGACTTATAGCAAATAGGGATCGGTTAGGGTAGCTAACCGATCCAAGGATTTCTTTAGGAAGAAAGCATCACGTGATCTGATCGCCTGAGTCGCCTGAGTCGCCTGTCGACTAGGGCGACTGAGGCGAGCGATCAGAGCGACCCAACTGAGAACGAAGGTTCTATATAAGACTGGCACGTCTGCCATTAGATAGGAGCTTCGTGCTCAACTTAGCTATCAATCTTATCATATTAGTTTGAAAAAGCATCACGTGATCTGATCGCCTGAGTCGCCTGAGTCGCCTGTCGACTAGGGCGACTGAGGCGAGCGATCAGAGCGACCCAACTGAGAACGAAGGTTCTATATAAGACTGGCACGTCTGCCATTAGATAGGAGCTTCGTGCTCAACTTAGCTATCAATCTTATCATATTAGTTTGACATCTTTGATACAAGTAACGAGTTCACTTCCAAGTGAACAACCCGATAGTCTTCTTCTTATCATAGCATACCAACCAGCGAACACCCAGCCAAGTTTAGTTAGCCAGTTTGAGTATTCGTTACATATAAGAAAGAGGAGAGTGGTGATTAATTATAAGAGGTATATAATAGGTATAAATAAAGGGTATAGGAAAGAAAAGACTTAGTAACGTTTAAGAAGTTAAAGGAAAGTAATAGGGAAATAGAGGTTATATATAAATGGAGAAGAATTAGAGAAGGGGTACTGGTAGAGGATCTAGATTAGGAGTAAGGATTATAAGATTAGGTAAGAGAGGAGATAGAGTGGGAAAGAAGGGATAACGGGGAAAGAGAAAATATAGGAGATATAGAGGTACTAGGAATTATATCTAGGGTGTTTTAGTATAGTATTATAAAGAATATTATTTTTTATTTATATTAAAGGGACTTAGGATAATTCTAGATATTATAAGTACGTAGAGTAGATAATAATTAGATTAAATTAGTAAGGAAAATATCTTTTTATTCTATTCTATATCCCTTTTCTAGAGTAATTCTATTTTATTTAAATAATTAGTAGAAATATTTAATTCTAGACCCTCTTATTTCTTGAATTTCTTATTTCTAGGATTTCTAGATAGAAGTTATTATATATAGTAACATAGAAAAGGGTTACTCCGATTAGAGTAATTAGAAGTAAGTTCTTATTTAGCTTTAGATTACTTATATCGTAGTATCCTAATTAAGATATATTACGTAAAGCTTACTATTACTACCCTAGACTATAAATATTATAGTATAGGGTCTTATTATCTAGTAGTTTATTTATACTTTTATACTTAATTGAGGTATAAGTATTCCTATTTACTTAATTCTCTTTATTACAAGTATATCTATTATATTTACTTTAAAATTTCCTTTATTTCCTATACTTTATTTAGTTAGAAAAGTATATGTAGGGAATTCTAGAGACTACTTAATAGAAGTATTCCTTTCTACTTTATAGATTCTTAGTGTTCTATATGGTATGTAATCTATTCTACCTAGTATTCCATGGAATATTATTCCTTCTGCCGAGAAGAAACGCCTCTTATAAGCGTATTATAACCTTACTAATTGTAGGTTGTTGTTATAGACAAGTGATCGAATGGATCAAGCTATATATGCAAGCTTGCTTAGTCACCCTCGATATGTAAAATACATCCTTTAGTTAATTAGAAAAGCCTCTGGGTTCCAGACTAGATGGAAGTATTCCATTGTATTTCATAGGTGCTCTAGGGGTATTCTATATCGAATAATCTACCTAGTATTCCATGGGATATGGTTCCGTCTAACGAGCGTTGGGATGAAAACGTACCATTGCTATTTGTTAATTGAAGAAAGTACATGGAGTTAGAAGGAAAACTGAAGATACTCTATTATGTTCTTACGTTGTTGCAGATATTGCCGAGCTCTTTGTACCTTGCTTCATTTCAGGAATATATACCTATACTTTTCATCAAAGTGGAGGTCAGCGTTCGGCAACTGGAATTCCGTTCTATACCAGACCCCCCCCTATGGAATGTACTATTCTATACCGTGGTAAATCGTCCTTAGAGGAAATACTAGGGTGTAAGGGTAGAGTACGGAATAGTACGAAATAATGTAATCCGGAGGCTTCTACTAGCTAGAAGTCCTTCTTCTTATACGTAGAAGATCACGATAAAATGTCTAGTGCCGTTTCTCTCTAGGGGTCCGTAGAAAGCTATTATCTAAGTAGCCCGAGATCATAGTCTTAGACCGACTTGCTAGCTTCTACTACTCTACCCTTACACCCTAGCATTTCCTCTAAGGACGATTTACTATAGTATAGGGTAGTTCCATGGCATGCCATGAAACAAATTCACATGATCCGGAGTAAAGTTTCACCGGTCCGAAGACTAATAGAAATCCTTTATTTTACTTAGCGCCGAGAAACAGTGAACAGTATTACGAATAAGCTATTAGCTCGTTACGTGTTCTAGAATTCCATAACTCGACGGAATTCCAGAGCCTATTCAATAGAAATAAGTGTTCTATTTATAAGCAGGTCTGGAAATATTCCATATGGAATGGAATCATGGAATCTATGAAATCGAGTGTCATTTGCCGAACGCTGGTGGAGGTCAGTAAGCGAGGACTCTATCAAAGACCTCAACAACCCAACCCCAACAAGTAGAAAAGTGATGCATAAAAAACTGACAACCTCGAAAAGCAGAAACCACTCAAACCGATTTGATTTTACTTTCAGCATATTATTATTAGCGAGTCATCAAAATCTTTGAGACTGATGAGCACCTGCCAACTCGCATCCACATCCGCATTCAAGAGGGCCCCACGAACATCACCTCACCTCCCACATCTCACAACCCAGGGATCCCACCTGCCCCCTTCCCCTTCTCCCACGGCTCAGCCGCCGCCATAAAAAGAAAAGGAAGAAAAAAAGGACAATATCAGCCCCATTACCCCCAGGGATAATCTTTTGTTGCAAATCGCGATTCTAACATTCGAGTCAAGCATGTAGGCGGCGTAAAAATCGGTACCGTACCTGAGCCAGCTGTCACGTCGTGTCACGGTGTCAGACTAACAGCGAGTCGTGATGCGGCGCCGTATGTGGGGTTCACCTCTCCTTTTCTCGGTTGTCTCTCGGGAGCAGATCACCAGCTCATGGGGATTTTTTGAGCTTCGAAGTATCTTCGGCCGAGCTTGCCGGATATAAATC